CATATAGAATCTCAAGGAGGGGCGCCTGGGTGGCTCAGTCAGTTAAGCATCAGCCTTCAGCTCGGGTCATGATCTCTGGGTCCTGGGATCCAGCAGGGAGTGTGCTTTTCTCTCTCACCCCCCGCCCCATCAATACGTAAAATCATTAAATAAATAAAAGAATCTCGAGGAACCCCAAACAACCAAAATAACCCTGAACACGAACAAGTTAGATGACTCAATACTTTCTGATTTCAAAACTTACTACACAAAGGTACAGTAATTAAACTAACTGGGTACTGGAACACAGACAGACATATAGACCAATCAAAGGAGTAGAATACAAAGCCCAGAAGTAAATCCTCACATACATGGGAAGTTATTTTGACACAAATGCCAAGACCATTCAACAGGGGAAGGTCAGTTTTTTCTACAAAAAGTACTGGGAAAACTGGATATCCCCACATGCAAAAGAACAAGGTTAGACAATAACCTACCATTTACAAAAATTAACTCAAAACAGATCAAAGATCTAAAGGTTAAGAACTAAAACTATAAAACTCTTAGAAGAAAACAAAGGAAACTCTTCAGGACACTGAATTTAACAATGGTTTTTTTGGATAGGACACCAACAGCACAGACGATAAAAGAAAGAATTGATGAACGGGACTTTATTAAAATTAAAACCTTTAAGGGGCACCTGGCTGGCTCAGTCAGTATAGCAGGCAACTCATGATCTCAGGTGGTGAGTTCAAGCCCCATGTTGGGCTAAAGCTTACTTTAAAAAAAAAAAAAAAAAAAAATCAAAACCTTTACTACATCAAAGGACACTATCAAGAATGAAAAGGAAACCCAAAAAATGGGAGAAAATATTTGCAAATCATGTATCTGATAATTAATATCCAGAATATATGAAGAATTACTACAACAACAAACAACTCAATTAAAACAAGGGGAAAAAGACTTGAATAGACACATTTCTCCAGAGAAGATATACAGATGGCCAACAAGTACATGAAGAAATGTTCAATATCACTAATCATTAGAAAGATGCAAATCAAAACCACAAGATATCACACTTTATACCCATTAGGATGGCTATATGACTATTATCAAAAAATAGAAAACTGAAAGTATTGGTGAAGATGTGGTAAAACTCAAACCCTAGAGCAATGCTACTGGAAATGTAAAATGATACAGCCATTTTTGAAAAAGTATGGCAAGTCCCTCAAAAAATGAAACACAGAATTACCAATATGATCCAGCAATTCCAATTCTAGGTATATACCTCAAAGAATTGAAAGCAAGGACTAAAACAGGTATTTGTATACCCATGTTCTTAACATTTATTCACAATAACCAAAAGGTGTAAACAATCCAAAATGTCCATCAACAGATAAATGGGTAAATAAAATGTAGTATGTATGTACAATGAAATACTATTCTGCCTCAAAATGGAATGAAATTCTGATGCATGAACCTTTAAAACACTACACTAAGTTAAAAAAAAAAAAAAAAAGCCAAACACAAAGAGACAAAGATTGTATGATTCTACTTAGATGAAATACCAGAATAGTCCAATTGATAAAAGGTAGAATAATGGTTACTAGGAGCTGGGGGGAGGGAGAAAGTAATGAAGAGCTCCTATTATTGAATACACAGTTTCAGTTTGGGATGAAGAAAAAGTTCTGGAGATGGACAGTGGTGATGGTAACACAACAATGTGAATGTACTTAATGCCACTGAAGTCTACAATTAAAAATGGCAAATTTTATATATTTTATCACATTAAAAAAAGTTTTAAAAATATTTTTAAACAGGAAATGGTATGCATTTTCTAGGAAGGGATGAAAAGTTGAATTCTGTTTTAGATTTGTTGCATATAAGCTATATGCAGGTCAATAAACACATCTGAAGCATGAAAGGTTCTGGTGGGAAATTTCAGCTTACAGTAGTCAAAACTGTAAGAAAAAAGAACATGCAGGGTTTTTTGTTTTTAAGATTTTATTTATTTGACAGAGAGAACACAAGCAGGGGGAGCAGGAGAGTGAGAAGCAGGCTCCCCGCTGAGCAGGGAGCTGAGCCCCATGTGGGGCTAGATCCTACGACCCAGGCAAGGATCACGACCTGAGCAGGAGGCAGATACTTAACCGACTAAGCCCCCCAGGCACCCGAAGAACATGCAGTTTAAAAAGAAAAAGTGGAATAAGGATCAAAGGAAACTCTGAGCTTGTTAACTGAACTCACAGGTATAGAAGAGTACTATTCAGGGCACCTGGGTGGCTCAGTTGTTAAGCGTCTGCCTCCAGCTCAGGTCATGATCCCAGGGTTCTAGGATTGAGCCCCGCATCAGGCTCCCTGCTGTGCGGGAAGCTTGCTTCTCCCTCTCCCACTCCCCCTGCTTGTGTTCCCTCTCTCGCTGTGTCTCTGTCAAATAAATAAATAAAATCTCTAAAAAAAAAAAAAAAAGAGTACTATTCAAAATTATCCCACCATATATCAATGTTATGAATTATCTGCATCTGGTTCAAAACACCTCATCGGCAGTACCTCAACCCTCCTATGCAAACTACTCTTGGAACACAAGACAAAAAGCAAAGTATGAAATCCTGCCATGGCTGAAATAAAGTACCTATTTCACAGAATCCTGTGAAGAATATATGATAGCTATTATTTTTGTTGTAATAAAAATGAGACAACACAGCCTATCCTATCCAACCTACATTTCTAACAACAAAGAAAAAAAAACTGCATATTGTTCCTGAGGGGACATTAATCATAACTTACTAATTTACTCTTTGGGATACACTATGGTAAGTATATATAGAAGCTAATTTACTCTTTGGGATACACTATGATATCAATTTAAGATAAACTAAGATATTTCATTTATAAATTTTTAGTGGCCTTCTCAATTAAGTCTCTAACTGTGGTACACTGTATGCCCCCCAAAGTGTCCACATCTTAATGCCCAAAATTTGTGACTATGTCACCTTACATGACAAAAAGGACTTTGCCAGTGTGATTAAATTAAGAATTCTGAGATGGGGAGATTATCCTAGATTATGTGAGTTTGGTCCAATATAATCAGAAGAGTCCTTATAAGAGAGAAGGCGATGTGATAGAGGTGACAGGGATAGTAGTCAAAGAGTGAAATCTAAGAAGCTATGCTTCTGATACGAAGATAAAGGAAGGACCCATGAGCCAAGAGGGTGTCAGCAGCCTCTAGAAGCTAGAAAAGATATGAATTCTCCCCTAGAGCTTCCAGAAGAAATGCAGGCCTGCCAACATCTTGATTTTAATCCCTTATGCCCCATTTTAGACTTCTGACTGTCAGAACTGTAAGCAACAGGAAACTAATACACCCTGAGAAAGCCAATGGCAGAGTGAGAGAAATTAAAAAAAATATGTTCATCAGTTTACTTGCCCAATGGAGTACTGGCTTTTGCCAAAAGAAAATTCAACACATCCACAGGAAAAACAGTCTTCCTCTAGAGGAAGTAGTTCTCAAATTTGGCTGCATATAGGTATCACCTGGAGATCTTTTCAACAATTCAGATAACAAGGTCCCATTTCAGACCAATTGAGTCATTATATCCGGGGCTCCTGACATCGTTAGAAAATCAGCCAGGTGGTTTTTATGTACAGTCAGGGTTGAAAACTTGCTGTTCGAGCTAAAGATTAGTTTTTAGCAATCTAAGGAAACCTATGGCATTTCCAAATACTACTAGAAGTTCCTGAAACTTTCCCCAATAAAGATGTGGTTCACCATTTATTCATTCATTGGTTTCATGTATGTTTTGCTAACTTTATCTTTGACAACAAGTTACCCTAGGTAAGAAGTTGCCTCAGCAAATTCCTAAAGGAAAAACTACTGGACCGAAAGGCAAATTTTTTTTATTCTGACAAATATTGCTAACTTACTATGCCAATTTACCCTTTTACCAATTAAGGATTAGCAACTTTTTTAAGCCTGCCCAATCTAGTAGGTAGTAAACAATACTTCACTGATGTTTTAATCTCAACGCTTCAATGATGAGTGATCGGGTATTTTTCACTGTTTTATTGGCCATTTTTTTTGCCTGTCAATTACTATATATCCATTTCTATTAGTTTTTTAAAAAGCTGGTTTGCGGGGCTCCTGGGTGGCTCAGTTGGTTAAGCGACTGCCTTCAGCTCAGGTCATGATCCCAAGGTCCTGGGATCGAGCCCCACATCGGGATCCCTGCTCCTTGAGGAGCCTGCTTCTCCCTCTCCCTCTGCCTGCCACTCCCCCTGCTTGTGCTCTGTCAAATAAATAAATAAAATCTTTAAAAAAAAAAAAAAAAAAAAAAAAAAGCTGGTTTGCGGGGCGCCTGGGTAGCTCAGTTAAGCATCTGCCTTCGGCTCAGGTCATGCATGCTCCTGGGGTCCCGGGATGAAGCCCCACTCAATGGGAAGCCTGCTTCTCCCTCTCCATCTGCTCCCCACCCCTGCTTGTGCTAATAAGCTGATTTTCAAAAAATTTTTCTGTTAAAGAAATTGACCTTTTATCTGTCCATGAGTGTTAAATATTTTTCCCAGTTTGTTTTTCTGTTCTTTGGCTTTGACTTCTTAAGGTCATAGATTCTATTTTTTATTTATTTTTTTAACATATTTATCTTTCCCTATATGGCTTCTTTGAAAGCTAATCCACACTCTAAATCTACACTCTAAAATTATAAAAACGTCCACCATCCACCTAAAGTTTTCTCTAATATTTTCAGAGTTTCATTTTTTACATTTAAGAACTCAGAATCTGTGCCCCTTTCCCTGCCACCACGTAACTAACTGGCAACATCATTTATTGTTTAGTTTATCTCTTCTCCACTGATGGAAGTTACCATGCTATCACTTTAACTCATTACAAAGATAAGGAGAAAAAAAATTTATACATGTGAATATATACATATACCCTAATATATGTGTGTATATGAAAATTTTTAAATACAAGCTTAACATACTAACTTCTTACACTGTCAACAATGTGCTGCCGAACTTACAAATTCCTTAATGAGGTTATGGAATATGAAAGTAAGCATCAGGCACACGTCTCCTCCTTTTCCTTTGCAAAAGCAATACAACTGTCACCAACCAGGCTGACTCCTCTTGAAAGCTGTGAAGAATAGTTTCCCCTAGCAGTTTTTCCAATGTTTGTAGGCAGCTTTGCAAAATATCTGTTGCCACTAGGTGGAGACAATTTAATAAAAGGAATATTAGTTACTGGAATACGAGTAGCTATAAATTCTCTACAAATATTCTCAAATGGTAAAGAAGTTCTGCCTCTAAATTCTTGAGTAAACCAGAGCTAGTTACTTTTGCTGAGGATCCGGTTTCCTTACTTGTAAATTTAAGAATTTAAATAAAGTATCATCAAGAGCCCTCTTAACTAGATCAAAAAACTTGCTTAAAAATGTCCCTAACAGTACAGTGCTTAGTCTGCCTTCAGCTCAGGTCATGATACCAGGGTCCCGGGATCAAGCCCTGCATCGGGCTCCTTGTTCACAGGAAGTCTGCTTCTCCCTTTCCCACCCCCACTAAAGCTTTAAAAAAAAAAAAAAAAAAAAAAAAAAAAACCAGTACAGTGCTTAGAGTCCTGTCTTTTTTTTTTTTTTTAAGATTTAATTTATTTATTTGACAGAGAGATAGAGAGCACAAGTAGGCAGAGTGGCAGACAGAGGGAGAGGGAGAAGCAGGCTCCCCGCTGAGCAGGGAGCCCGATGTGGGGCTCAATCCCAGGATCCTGGGATCATGACCTGAGCCAAAAAGCAGCCGCTTAACCGACTGAGCCACCGAGGCGCCCATTAGAGTCCTGTCTTCTTAAGCTAAAAAGGTATCCTACCTTCAGCAACTTCTTTCAACTTGAATACTTCAAACAATCATAACCAATTTCCTCCAATCTTTTCAAAGCAGGTCAAAAGAGACATACTGTTCACACATCTAGGATTCCAAGTTAAAGCCAAGGTTATCTGCACTTTTTTCCCTTGTCTTAAAGAAAATAGCTGATATCATACTTCTCCACATTCATCTGGCTTGTCTGTACACAGTGAACTAGCTTTTTCCTTTTAACTAGTGTCGTTGGTACTAGAGGCTATACATCTGGGGGATTTTGTTTTTTTTTTTTTCTCTTGTGCTATTTTTTATTTCTTGCCTCATTTGGTCAGAACCTTCCATTTTTGTTGATTTCCTGAATTCTTAACTGTCCCTCTGTCAAGACATTCACTGGTACTTTACCTTCTGGTTCTCATCTGCCAGTCTAGATTTTGTAACTCTTCTAAGGATGTCTCAACCTCTGCTTGCCTAAGGGTTTTCCAGTCTACTGCTTCATCCAATTACTGAATCTAGTGACCTACTGCCAAACCACTGACTCACTAGTAATTTAGATCTCAGACTCTGGCATAATCTAGGTTCTCAGCCCTGAACACACATCAACTCTATACCACAAACTAACCGCATTCTTAGAAAGGGACTACTTTTAATTCTCCCAGTACCCTAAGACCAAGAGACACAAAGGACATTGATAACTTCCTGAGCAGAGGGGGGAAAAAAAAAAAATCTTGAGTTCTAAAGTAGAACAAGGGAGGCTACCAACTTCATTTCACATCTCTCCCCAGATTAGAGGAAACTAAACAATGGAGCATATTAATGTGGCAGCAGTTAGCAGCTTACTATTGGGCTGTAGACTATTGCTGTGTCATCAGCACACATGATTGGCCCCCCAAAACATCTGCAGATTTAATGGCACAGACAGATCAGTACCTCTATTTTTGAGAGGGAGATGTCAAACACAACTAAGGCATAAAGCAAAGCTTAAAAATTTACTTGTTTATCATTAATGACAAAGCTAGAAAGTCTAATAACTTGAGTTTTAGTCCAAAGCCCCATATGCCAGAACAAAAGCTAACTTTTGAAAAGTGGTATAGCAAGGTTGTTATCCTTTCCTGGGAAGAGAAATGTCCATAAAGTGCAGACTCCTGCCAGAAGCAGAAGTGCTGATGAACACATACATTAGCTTTAGCGAATAACTGCATAGGAAAGCACAGCAACGCTCCTTTGTGTCACTGAAAATAACAGCAACAGGGTCTACACTTCTGGCAAAGGCCTATCTGTTGAAAAATTAAATTTGTGGGAAGGCAGCGACAAAAGAATATTGACTAAGGAAGATAAGACAGACAGCTAAAGGCTGATGCCACCACATTCTCTTATAACAGCAGCTGGAATAAGAGAATACCACTTTCAGAAAGAAAGCAGCAAGGCAATTCATTTCCAGAAATACAAAAATATTTGCATTCTTTTACTCAGTAATCCCAGTCCTAGGAAGTAATGTTATTAAAAACAGATAACAGAGGATTTACCACTTTCTCTGAAATTTTGCTTAATTGTAACAACCCTATGAATAGGTACTATTTTCCTCATCTAAGAAATAAGGAAATTGAGCCAAAGTGTAAATAAATAAATGAGCAACTTGCTTAAAAGTCTCACAGTAATAAGCATCAAAGGCAAGAATCAAATGTAGGTCTGTTTGGGGTGTCTGCCTTCGGCTCAGGTCATGATCCCAGGGTCCTGGGATCGAGCTCCCCATCAGACTCCCTGCTCAGCGGGAAGCCTGCTTCTCCCTCTATCACTCCCCCTGCTTGTGTTCCCTCTCTCGGTGTGTCTGTCAGATAAATAAATAAAACCTTAAAAAAAAAAAAAAAAGTAGGTCTGTTTGAGTAAGAAGGCCATGCCCTTAACCACCATACCAAAGACTACTGGTACTACTACTACAATAATAACATCACCATCCGCAAGGAGACATTTGCAACATCAACATCAGGAAATTTCCTCAATCATTAACTATAATAGTTATTAATACGATATGCAATGACTAGTAATACTTGCAAGGTAAAATGACAGAAGCCACGGATTTGCATCTGCGCTACAATTACAGCTATGTAAAAGTTACGTTCTAGAAGGTAACACAGAGCTGTTAGGAGTTTGTAGAGGGAGTTTCCATTTTAAGCACAAACTTTTAACAGTTTTTTTTTTTTTAAGGTCTTATTTACTTGACAGAGAGAGACACAGCGAGAGAGGGGACACAAGCAGGGGGAGTGGGAGAGGGAGAAGCAGGCTTCCAGTGGAGCAGGGAGCCCGGGATCCATGACCCGAGCCGAAGGCAGACGCTTACCGACTGAGCCACCTAGGCGCCCCAACTTTTAACAGTTTTAAGACAACAAAAAATAAGAATAGAGAAATAAAAAATGTGTCTCTGGTATCCCTTTGTCACACAGGGTAGATTTTCTCTTGCAGGAAAAGAAAAACTATTATGCTCCTATACATATTCAATAGTAGCAGCCAGGCTGGGATTCAGGAGACCTCGATTCTCATTTTGGGTTATGGAAACAATTCCAAAAAATAAACGGATTTAATCTTTCTTCTGTCTGGACTTTATCTCTTGGTTTCTGCAACTTGCATCAAAAAAAAGTTTTAAACTGAAAAAAGCAGTTCCTGGGGTTTCAAAGGCCAGGATCTTAGAAGCATGAAAAAGAAATCAGAAACTCTGAGGATAGAAAGAAGTTTTACAGCTCTGATAAATCTAAAGATTAGCATAATCTTTATGTTCATGAAAGCAGCAAAAATTTGGCACAGCTCATAAATACTGGAAATCAACATGGTTTTGAGTTAGTCAATATACAGATTTAACCTCTTTATAAAATAAACACGTTTTGGGTGATGTACAAATGTATATATTTTATGTCCATTAAGGCAGAGTTCCTTATTAGCAATGAAAATATAGATATTTAAAGTGTATATATATCGAAATGTTTTTTAAAAGCTACTTACTAGCTATTAGACTTCGGTAATCTTAATGTGAGTTCAAATAATGTTAAAAAGAGAAAATCATATAATACTATAATAAAAACTTGGGGTACCTGGCTGTTTCAGTCAGTGAAGCATGCAACTTACTGGTTTCAGGGTTGTGAGTTCAAGCCCCACACTGTGTGGGGAGATTACTTAAAAATAAAATCTTTAAAAAAAAAAAAGAAAAAGAAAAAAGACTTAAGTAGCTAAAGTAGTGAAATCATTCTCTCCTAAGCAAAACTGATTCTATATTATTAAACAATGAACAAAAAAGAAAACTGACATTAATTCAATACAAGATACTGTTTGCAGGCACTTTTTGTACAGCTTTCCCTCTACCTCTACTTTTTAACAAAATCCTGTAAGTACATGGTTCTTAACTTTTGAATCCACATCCCCACTGAGAATCTGAAAAAAGTTAGGAACTCTCATGGGGGGGGGATGCAGGGGGGAATACTATACAAAAGAACACAGGCCCTAAATCTCAGAATAATGGTGCCTTAAGAGAGCCCAGAACTGAAGGCCAAGAACGCTTGCTCTAAAAAAGAATTCCAACTCGGGGCACCTGGGTGGCTCAGTCGTTAAGCGTCTGCCTTCGGCTCAGGTCATGATCCCAGGGTCTTGGGATCGAGCCCCGCATCGGGCTCCCTGCTCCACGGGAAGCCTGCTTCTTCCTCTCCCACTCCCCCTGCTTGTGTTCCCTCTCTCGCTGTCTCTCTCTGTCAAATAAATAAATAAAATCTTAAAAAAAAAAAAGAATTCCAACTAATAAGCAGAAAAACCAGAGACTATCTTCTCTAAATCCTTCTCCGTTTTCATCAGCTATACTGCAACAAGCTACTGCCATGGATTACAGATTGATTCTTGCAAATTTATGGAGACAAAAGGTATTGCCTGTTAATTACTTCCATCTGGCTGTCACAATGAATTTTGGACCTCCCTACCACCAAGCTAAAAGGAACCCCAGGATCCAACCACTGTTACATCCATTTGAAGTATTTTGCCATTGTCAAAAATGTTACCAGACTGGTTATGACATAGTGTCTGTGATATCAAAAGAATTAAAATACACACATAAATTCAGATCTATAATATACAGTTAAAACTATGTTTTAAACAAAAGAAAAAATTCATTTCCAAAAGGAAATACATCGAAATATAAGAGGAATTAAAACTGAGTACTGAAAACATTTTTTCTTTCTACTTCTTAAATTTCCCCAAAAATACACTTAAAAAATTAAAGTGACAACTGAAATTATATTTAATAAAAAGACAATTTAGTAATTTATCGAGTTTCCCATCAGCTCCTAAGCTATTTTTGAAAGGACCAAGAAATATATTGAACATGCGGATTAAAACTAAAAACAATCTGGGCGCCTGGGTGGCTCAGATGGTTAAGCGTCTGCCTTCGGCTCAGGTCATGATCCCAGGGTCCTGGGATCGAGTCCCACATCGGGCTCCCTGCTCCTTGGGAGCCTGCTTCTCCCTCTGCTTCTCTGTCTCTCATGAATAAATAAATAAAATCTTTAAAAAAAAAACAAACTAAAAACAATCCATTTAAGAAATGAATAACATGAAGCACCTGGGGGGCTTAGTCATCTGACTAGATTTTGGCTCAGGTCAAGATCTCAGATTCGTGAGACTGAGCAGCACATAAGCTCGGTGCTTAGCCCAGTCTGCTTGAGATTCTCTCACCCTCTGCCCCTCCCTGCAGGCTCACAAGCACGTGCACTCTCTCATTCAAATAAGTAAATAAATAAAATCTTAAAAAAAAAGGAAAAACAGCTTAGTTACTGTGTGACACTTTTTTCCTCTCTAGCACACCAATATTGTCTTGATTTTCCTAATTATTGCAACAGATTATCCAAAAGTTTTCAGGATAAATTAAATTGGCATTGATAATCATGTTATCTATATTATACATTTGTAATATTACCTGTTCAAAAGTTATGGAGACTTCTGAGAAAAAAAGTATTTCAGGAGGCTACACTGGTAAATTATCACTGGTTAACCCAAACTGGAAACGAGACCTACATTTAAATACAAACATAATCAATTATAATAACATTAAGGACAGAGAAATTGAGTCTTAACACTTCAGATAATACTCAACTATCAATATTCAAGAGTCTTTAACATATTTCATTGCTTTATAGCCACATGAGGAAACATTCCTGGAGGACAGCACCTCATAAAAATAAAAAAGCTAGGAAAAAAGCATCTTTCCACTAATTCAACAAGGCAGTTTCTTCACAAATAGGCCAATTAAAATTTTTAAGATCAAGGATAAGAGGGTAAGTTCATGAAAAGTAAATAACAGATACAATTTTTAATTTTGCTAAGTGTATTGTGAAAAGCAGATAATTTCTGTAATTGATATCATAAAATAACGAATAAGTAAAACAAAACCACAATAGTTAGTTTCCAGTCAAAATAGTAATACCATCTGTTTCCCCTGCTCCCCCAGGCCCTTGTCATATAAACAATCTACAGAGTGGTAGTTTTGCTCCTAATGTGTAAGTAAAGTTTGGAATATTATTGTCTAATGATATGAGCGAGATATTTGACCCTGGTGTAAAGAAATTAATGAGACATGTCAACCTTAAAATACATTATTTAAGGGAGAGAGAATACTATAATATAAACCAGACTTGGGAAAAGGGTTATAGGACATCCACAACTCCTCCCACACTCCATTCCACCCTAACAACTTTGAAATATGAAAACTCCCTTGAAAGTAGTCACAGAACTATAACCAGGATCCATGCCAGAGATTAATCCATCTGTCTCTCTTTCTTCACCTACACCCCATATATTTACAATGTGCTTTGCTGTTTACAAAACCTTTTACCTACACTACCTCTTATGTCTTTACAAATAACCTGTGAGATCAGCGAGGGTGGTTTGTTTTTTTTTTTTTAATAGAAAACAGGCCAGTAATCTTGCTTGTAGTGAAACCAGACCTAGAAACCAAGACTCCTGACTTCAATTCTGAAGCTCTTTCCACTATACACAACACACCCTTTCTGTAATATAATAAAGTCTTCTATAAAACATTTGGCTGGATTCCATGACAGCAGTCCCAGACTGAATTGGACTCTATATAGCAAATAGTGTAAATAGTGAGGGTTTAATGCAATTACTGGCATGGAGGCATACATCTTTTAAAAAGTGAAGAATCAGTTGGTTTTAAGTTGGTTTAAGTTAATGGTGTGTGCATAATAGTGGAAACAAACACTATTCTAAAAAGAAGTCAAAATGAAATTTTACAGATTTGCACATTTTACAATAGCTAATAGAGGTAGTGGTAAGTAACACATGAAATAGGAAAAAAAGGGAGACAAAAAATGGATAATTAAAAAGAACAATGTAAAAAGAAACTGCATGATATTTTTTATTTTTAGGAAATAAAATGAGGAGCTTCTGTCTTTTCTTTCTGCCAGAAGTAACTAAGACTTTAGAACATTAGGCTATAAAATAATGAGAGGTGTAAAAGAGGATTTTATCTAGCCATTAAATGAATCCCTGCCAAAATTGCTGGCTCTGGAATAAAAAATCCCAAGTCGTATTTCTAGATCAGCTGCTGGTACTATACAGTTTAAGTTAACCAATTATTTTAATCCTTCAGTTATGACATCTGTAAAATCAAACAACACTCAAACTATTTTCTAATGACCTTGGAAGGAAGAAACAATGTCTGCAAAAGTAATGATGAATGTTTTAATTCCCATCAACTACTGCAAAAATAAGTATTTCTCGAACATCTTTTATGTTCACAGTACTAGGCTAGGCTAAAAGTGAAAAGTGATGGCCTTTACAATCTAAATCAATAAGGCACACAAATGCTTAACTAATGATTATGATTACATAACAAAATTGAAGCATCTCAGATAAAGAGCTTTCATAGGAGTTGAGCTGAACACAGCAGAGAATGAAGTTGGATTTGATCAAGATAGAAAATAAAAATAGTAGTCATTAAGTTTAGCAAGGCAGAGAAGAGGCAAGTAGGTTGTAATGTCCTTTGGGTTCTCAAAGCACATCACTCATCTGTTATTGCATTTAACACACTGTAAGATGGTTTATTTGTCATCCCCACTTAGGTTGTAAATTCCTCAAGGACAGAAACCTTGTTCAATTCATTTTCTATCCCTAATCCCTCGCATAGGGTCTGGCACACAGAAGATAATCAACACTTGTTTTTTAACAGGCAAGGTAAGGACAAGATTCCCTATTTAAATTATTATACTTTAACCTACACCATTTTGTGCAGATCACTGACTCATTGTCTCTCAACTCCAAAACCACCATTCTAGATTCTGCTCTTTGGTGCTGGGGCTCAGACTGCACAACTGTATTTCACTGACTCTTCTGCCACTCTCCCTGTTAGGCTTTGACAGTAGAGGTAGTAAAAGGAAAACTGGAAAGCAGAAAGAGGGGTGAAAGGACTTCCTTCCAGTTCCTGGCAGCAGCAATTGCAGCCCCTCACCCCAGCAGCAACAACAGGTTTCAGTCTCTAGCTTCTCTGGGTACTTTTGGGTACTTCCAGAACCTGATCAGCAGCTGAACGATGACCTCCTCAAAGGTTCAGGACCAGGCCAATGGAATCTGTTTTCTGAGCTCTTAGGTCGATTACACTGTAATGTTGTCTTTTTGCTCTTACAACCATTTAACCAACTCCCTATATTAAATCTCCTCTGTTGAAATTCTTATTCAAGTTACTATTTTCTCTACTAGAACTAATACACTGTCAAACAACTCTCCTTTGAGAGATCGTGCTGCTTCACTGAAGAGGAAAGTAAAGAAAATTTGGAACTACTCCTAAAGATAAAATCTATTTTAAAAAGGATAACTCAAAACCCTTTAAATTTGTCTGCTGAGGGGTGCCTGGCTGACTCAGTTGGTGAAGCATGCAACTCTTGATCTCGGGATGATGAGTTCAAGCCCAATGATGGGTACAGAGATTACTTAAAAATAAAATCTTAAAAAAATTTGTTGAGTTGGGGGCGCCTGGGTGGCTCAGTCGTTAAGCGTCTGCCTTTGGCCCAGGTCATAATCCCAGGGTCCTGGGATTGAGCCCCGCATCGGGCTCCCTGCTCAGCTGGAAGCCTGCTTCTCCCTCTCCCACTCCCCCTGCTTGTGTTCCCTCTCTCGCTGTGTCTTTCTCTGTCAAATAAATAAATAAAATCTTTAAAAAAAAAAAAAAAATTGTTGAGTTGTACCATAAAAATAATTTAACTCTTGTGTTTTAAACTACCCAACTTAGAAAAAAAGAGAGGAAATGAAAAATATTTAAATAGCACAAGGTATTCCAAGCACACACAACCACCTCCTTTTACTAGAGCACATATCCTAGAGAAAATGTGATATGGTAAAGCTCATCTGCTGCTCTTCAAAGGTCTCAGCTCCCACAAGCCTCTCCTCATGTACACATGACCAGCTGAATGTGATGCTTATATTTAAATACATTTTTGGCAGGGCACCTGGCTGGCTCAGTTGGTGGATCATGCGACTCTTGATCTCGGGGACATCAGTTCGAGCCCCACAATGGGCAGAGAGTTTACTTTAAAAAGTAAATAAATATTTTTTAAAATAATATATATATATATTTTTTTGCTGTTGTTCAACATGACCCCTAAATGCAACAGAAAGCTGTTTCTTTTGTTGAACACTAACCTGTTCCAACACTAAAGCTAAAATGAACTTACTGGCATATTGTTCTCTCTTCCTATAGGATTTTTCAAGCATCATTTTTTTTCTACCACGTGTGACTTTCATTTTATGCATCATCTTTAGAATCTAACCTCTTCATAAAATACAACTCCACTCTACAGCATAGAAACAAAAAGAAATTCCCCTTGCAGGAGTCTATAATCAACGCATCTGTTGAAAATAAATGACCAAAATGCTTCGATAGTTTTCACATGGTCTGTTACTTAATAAAATATCCTCATTAGACAATTTAATCTGAGGTTAGCTACAAAAATAATTTTTCATTACTTAGCAAACTTATTTTTCAAAATTATGACAAAATGGAAGATAGGGAGAAGCAGCAAACATATTGTTAATCCATTTCTAAATGAAATGGGAGAAAGCAAATTGAAGCAATAGGAATCTTTCTTGGAATTTTTAGAAATGTATATAGCTGAGCTTCCAACATGACTTATCACTAGGCCCAGACATACCAGTCCACTTCAACTGCCTATAACATCTATAAGGCAAAAGTGAAAAGAATTTTAAACTTGAAAATCCATGGCCAGTTCCACTGGAGTTCCTCCTAGAAGCATAAAACTGGATAGTGGGCCACCTACTCCCCTTACCATCGACATCTATAAAGTCAGGGACTCATTACCCAGCTCCTGCTCTAGTTGTAGACATACTAACACCACCTTCTACTTAGTACCAAGAGTCCTATTACCACAGTCAGTATGTCCATGTAAAATCAACCAAACTGTATTCCTTACAAGAAACACCCAAGGACCCATCTGACACATTAGGTGGAAACCTAGGGATGAGGGGGGATAAACAGGATATCTTGACCTACAGAGAGGAAATGGACAGGGCAAATGTTATTGTACCTTTGTACCCCCAAATTATATGGGGATCTACTCAGTTAAATGCAAATAAACATTCAATAAGTTACTATAATAACGAAGATTTCAGAGAAATGGAAAAAAATGAGGAAATTAATTAACGTGTCTAATGACAAGGTCTTCACACCATGTGCAATAAACACTAATCAAGTGTAGATCTGTATGTGGGCAGAATGTGCATAATCCCACAGTATTTTTCCTTTTAAAAATGACAAACTGTGATGCATTGTTTAATTTCTCCAGATTTAATGAGTTGCTACAAAATTATGAGGTGCTTTAAGTCATACTAAAAATGTGTCCATAACTTTAATAAAGTACATTTTAATGTTAACTCATTTCTCTTGCTGGAAGGAATTATGCTTCTTTGCTAATGTATAGAAATGAAATTGTCACTAAAACATCTGGTTATATATTATTCATTAGACATAAATCACCTTTACTCCAAAGACCACATAATGAAAACACAAATCATGAATAAATCAGAGAAAGACCTGACACTACACACTTAAGGTCAATAATACAAAAATGAAATTCCTAAGATATTTGCTGACCTGCTCTATACAGTATTCCTATCCACATAAACCTAGGAACTAGCTGTCTGAGTGCTCAATACAGGCAGAGAAAAACTCAAAATTCTTAGAATGTCTCAGTATTTTGAATGTCTGCATTGTCTACATATTAGTGGCTCTAATTTGAAATTTTTCTGTGTAGTACATTTGAGGACCACCAGCATATTTTTAAAATACTCAGACTAGCCTACTCAGGCAGTTTCCTCCATAAATTCTCCATTTCACTCACACCTACTATAATTAACCTCAAAGGTGGATTCCACAAGGGTACCTGAAGGAAATAACTCAAAACCTCCGGAAAAGTAAGGGGCCATATTTGCTGTGCTATCTCTAGAAAGTGGAGTCTTATATAACTACCCATTATTTTACTTTAAACACGTTAAATGTACAATCAAGATTTTAAAAGGTACCTGTTGATTGTGACAAGTAGAAATTTCAGTGGAAAAAGGGAATCACCAAAAGTCTTATTGCTGCCATTTAAATTCTTTGTAAATCAAAAGGTCAAATATTCACTATAAAAAGCCTGATCTGACACCAATCTAAGTTATTAAAAATTCAACAACTATACCCCAATGCAAGTAGGAAAAAGTAGATTATCTACCAATTACACTAAGTATTCCAGCTTATCGTCTTGGAACTCACCAAAAGTAGATCATGTAATGCAAATCACTCAGACATGAGTTTTAAACATAATTCTCATCAAAGCCACGTCTCAATTTTTTTTAATTTTTAAAAGTAAAGCGTATTACCAAAACACTGAATGCAAGCCTGTTCTTTTCAGAGCAAACAAATTTCTTCACACACCTCAAGGAAACCTAACATTTTCAAACCACTTTACTTACCCCTTAAAGACACACAATCTCTCAAACTTTCTGACAGCCATGCAGTATATACCCAAAAAGGCTTGAAGACGGTAAGACCATAATGGTCTTAGCGGGCAGATAATCGGAACGAACCTCGAAGTTTCAAAGACCAATTTTTACTAACAGTATCTCTGGGAGCAAGGAGACTACTTCTACAGGAGGGAAAGTATCTTGACAGCCTGGGCTAGGGCTCCCTGGCGACACCCAATACCAAAGATCTCAGCGTCAACGACTGGGTTCAAAACGCGAAGCTTCCATCAGAAACAAACCAAGACAACCCCTCCCCCCACGACTCCTTCGGGGCAGCCTCGCGGTTTTAGAAAGCAGCAACAGATACTCGCCGGCAGGCAGGCGGCACTCCAGGAACGTTTTAACCAGGAGGGTCTCCCGGCAGCCCACCAGGAACCCCGACGCCGAGCAGCGCCTCGCGAACCCAGACTCCAGCACCGCGGGGGTGAAAAGGGGCATTCTGCACAAAGCGCCCCCACCCCACCCCCACGGTGCAGACACATACCCCTGGGCAGCGAGGGGGAAGCCCGGAGGAAAAACCCCGCATTCCACGCCGCCGGCCTCGGAGAGGGGCCGCAGAGAGGCTGGAGCCCCCGCCCCGGGAGGCGAGGGGCCGCACGGCGGCCCCGGCCTCCGCGCTGAGGAACGGACAGCGAGGGGTTCCCAACGAAGGAAGGAATTCAATCCCTGACCTTCTCCCACTGGGTCCTCCGCAAGCCGGACCCACCACCTCCGCCGAGACCCTCGAAGAAATGGGAACAATGAGAAGCTGCCTCCCCCGCCATCCCCGCCCCGAGAGCGGCCGGGGGCGGCGGCGCCATCTCCCCTCACACCCCCGCGGGCAACACACCCCCGGCCCCCAGGCCGCCGTCAGCCGCCCGCAGCCCGGCCGAACCGACGCACGTCCCGGCCCGCAGTGCCCGCGCCCTTCGCCTCCCCGCCCGCCCCACTCACCGGCTCCTGCCCCAGCCCGGGACTCCGCTGGCCGCGGCCAGACCGAGACTCAGGTACAAGCCGCCGCGGCTGCCGGCGCCGCCGCACAATATGGCGAGCCTCGGCTTCCGCAATGGAGCTCGGGAAATACAACAGGGGCCGCTCAATATTCATGAGAGACCGAGGGGAAGCCGGCGCGGCCGGCGCGGCAGGGAGGGCGGGAAGGAACGAGCGAGCGAGGGGGCGGAGGCGCGGGACGGGGACGTGCACGTCGCGGGGAGGCCCGCGGCGCGAGGGGAGGGGGCGCCGCCCCGTGCTGGCGGGGAGGGCGCGAGCCGCCCCTCCCCGGGCCGGCCGGCCCCGCCCCCCGGCGCCCTCGGCGGGGTCGACGCAGCCCCCGGGCAACGCCCGGATGTCGACGGCGCCGCCTCGTTCTCGTCGTTCAGGCTGCTGGGGCTCTTCTGCCCCTGCCGCGGCCCACCCGTTACACCTCCTTGGCCGGCTGTCGGGGTTTGGCCTCAAGAGTTCTGCCCTCTGCGACTGCCTCCTCCTCTTACACCCGTCCCACCTGGTAGACATCGTCAGTAGGCATTCAGCTCTAGAACTTCACCTGAGCTTCGGCCCTCTGCCTCCCCGTTCAACAAACACGTACCATCCTGGCAGAGTGAACCTACAAGATCTTTCTTGTAGGGAAAATGACCTTCCATTCTAGAAGTATATTGTTGGACGTCTGTAAGTGTTCCGATTGTTTTCATCAGCTCTTACTGTTAGACCTTGCCGTTTTATTCCTACCTTCTTGGCCCCTTCCAGTATTATCTTCTGAACTTGAGAATATAAGAAGTAATAGATTAAATAGATGTAATCATTACCTAAAACACAACCAATTGGTCTACCAAAAAATTATGTAAAATGCGTATAAATTAAGCGATAAACTGAAGAAGTAACAAGCGAAAGAGTTCCCTGACCTCAAGGTACACTATTGGTGAGAAGTCCTTTCCTCTTGAAAAGATAACCAACAAAATCAGACAGTAAATATGAAGGCATTTGTGACCTAAAGAAACGGACCGCCCTATAAAACTAGGTTTGTAGCCTCCAGGTTGTCTCTAACCATTTGACTTAAGTAAATTGCATAACCTCTCTGGACTTAATTTTCCTCATTTGCAAAATGAGAGGATTGTGTTGGATGATTCTTAGGTCTTTTCCAGCTTTTGAACTTTCTAAAACTCTCCAAGCAATGCCAAATAAATGGTACGAATTTACATAGCATTTTGGAAAAGAAAAGGATCGATTCCAGCTGGTGTGTTGAAAGAAGATGTCCTAAGGAGCTAGGATTTGAGTAGTGCTGTGGCAGATAGTTTTTGGATGGGTAGAAAGAAAGAGGACAGGTGTTAATATATTAAAGACAACACGTTATGTATCCTACCTAACAATCCATTAAAGTAAGCGAGCAAAGCATTATTCTTTTTCAGTGACTTGAAAACTTTCACCTACTATCTATAGCTTTAAATAAAAAATGACAATTCTTGGGAGCCTGGCTGGCTCAGTGGGTAGAGCATGCAACTCTTGAACTGGGGGTGGTAAGTTCCAGCCCCATGTTGGGCTTGGAGCCTCCTACTTAAGAAAGAAAGAGAGAGAGAGAAAGGAAGGAAAAGAAATGACAATTCTCAGACTCTACAAGCCCTTCAAGGGTAAGCTCTTTCTCCAGTATGAAAAAAAAAAAGTCAAAATACAGATGGTCCCCAACTTACAATTCCATGTATGAGTTTTCATCTTAACAGTGGTTGAAAGTGATACTATTCAGTAGAAACCGTACTTCACATTTTGAATTTTGATCTTTTCCTGGGCTAGCTGTGTGTGGTAGGATACTCTTGTGATGCTGGGCAGCAGCAGTGAGCCACAACTTCAGTCATCCATTCGATCGGGAGGGTAAACAACTGATAAACTTACGAACACTTTGTACCTACCTATATACAACCATTCTATTTTTCATTTTCAGTACAACATTCAATTATATGAGCTATTCAACACTTTATTATAAAATAGGCTTTGTGTGAGATGGTTTTGCCCAGCTGTAGCTAATGTAAGTGTTCTGAGCACATTTAAGATAGGCTATGATGTTCAGTAGGTTAGGTATATTAAATGGATTTTGACTTACAATATTTTCAGCCTCCACCAGCTTATCAGGACGTAGCCTTTTCCGTGAGTCCAGGAAGAACTATAATCAAGGCATGCTTCTTATAAAGGTCCTTATAAAGGTCCACTTTCTAGAGATAGTGCAGTTGCAGAACCATCCCTTCTTTATTCATGACGACTGCATGTGTAGTTCAGTTAAGGGTGTTGATAATTCAGAACCTTTTGCTCCAGTAATGCCTGTGAAGATAATGTGTGGTTAGAGTAAGAAATTCAATTGATGTTGCAAAAAGTGATCATTTGTAGAAGGCACAGGAACTTTATGGATAAAAGTTAAATATAGTACTTAAAAAAGATTCACAGGAGAATTAGTGGGAAAATGGAAAACTTATGGGATATCTGGATTAAATGTGATTAAAAAGCTAGACCTCAGGCTAGCATCCTTAATATGAAAGACACTACTGTCAAATTAATGGAACTCGTATTACCTATTATATCTCTTACTCAAAACCTTGGCATTGAGGGTGCTATGGGCCTCTCCTGACTATATTAATCAGGAAAGATTTTGTTATGGTATAGTAATAAAATTTCCAAAATCTCCATGCCTTAACACAACAGAAGTTTATTGCTTATTCATGCTTCATATGGATCAGACTCCCTCTGTTCCGGTCACTCCAGGAACCAGATTGATAGAGGGTCCACCATTTTGTAGCTATCTCACCTAGATCACAGCTACTGAGTTTCTGTGGCAGAGGAAGAGACTAAAGAATCCCCATGAACTTTTCATAGCCTTAGATTGGGGAAAAAAAACAAATTACTGATCGAATTTCATTGGCCAAAACTAGTTACTTAGCCTCCCCCATCTGCAAAGAGACTGAGTCCTTGAACCAAGTCAGGAGAAGTAGGGATATTGGTGAACGATACTAATGTTACCCACCCTGACCCCACCAGTGAGCTCCTATATATTATGAAAAAACTCCCAAGAAGTTTTATTCAATAACATTGGAAGTTATGCTTTCAAAAGTAAACTCTCTGTACTTGTTAAGAGTTCACTATCATGTAAATAGAATGGACCTTCCATTTTCTTCCCCTTTGTTTTAGTTGTATATTAAATCAATGTCAGTCTGTCTAGTGATTTGACATATCCAACCTACATTCCTTTTGCTAATTTTTTGACCTGACCTAAGGGATATTACCCTTAAAAACATTTTCTACTAATACTCTCCTCCCATGTTACATGTACTAATTGGAAGTGATAATCATATTTTGAGTAGGGAAATGTTTAATTAACACTACATAATACAAGTATCATACTATAGGTAGATGACTACGTGAACTCTAGGTTAAAAAGATTCTTCTTGGGGCGGCCGGCTGGCTCAGTTGGAGGATCATGCGACTCTTAATCTTGGGGATGTCAGTTTGAGCCCCATGTTGGGGGTAGAGTTTAACTAAAAAGAAAAAAATATATATTATTTTTCCCTCAAGACTTGAGAAGTAGTACCCTATTAATCACATGGTGAACTGAGTACAAAAATCATTTCTGATCACAAAATTCACGGCTTTACTAGCTTTCTGCTATGGTAATGCTACAAAATTAGATTAGTTCAGCTCAACCAACTTTTACTGAGCATCTACTATGTGCCAATACTTTGCCAAGTTCTTGGAATAAAGCTATTAATGTAAGTAGGACATAAGTTCCTTGAGAGCAGAAATCATGGCCACCAGTGTATACCTAGAGATTAGCGTGATGCTTGGCACATATACTAGATGCTCAATAAATAGGTGTTAAGAGGGGCGCCTGGGTGGCTCAGTCGGTTAAGCGACTGCCTTCGGCTCAGGTCATGATCCTGGAGTCCCGGATCGAGTCCCGCATCGGGCTCCCTGCTCGGCAGGGAGTCTGCTTCTCCCTCTGACCCTCCCTCCTCTCATGTGCTCTCTCTCTCTCATTCTCTCTCTCAAATAAATAAATAAAATCTTTAAAAAAAAAAAATAGGTGTTAAGAGAATGAAAGACAGAATCTTTGATCCCAGTGTGTATAGGAAATACAGCAATACATATGAGCTTGGTTTGCCTCACTTTTATCACTTACAAGCAGAAATTTCTATTAAGATTGCTGTTAGTCGGGGCGCCTGGGTGGCTCAGTTGGTTAAGCGACTGCCTTCGGCTCAGGTCATGATCCTGGAGTCCCGGGATCGAGTCCCGCATCGGGCTACCTGCTCAGCGGGGAGCCTGCTTCTCCCTCTGACCCTCCCCACTCTCATGTGCTCTCTCTCATTCTCTCTCTCTCAAATAAATAAAATCTAAAAAAAAGATTGCTGTTAGTCCTTGCAGAGTCTTTCTCTAGGCAGTGTGTTTGAATGGGAATTTATACCTGCCTGTTCTGTATATACCACGTGGATTTCTTTTTGGCTGTGCTCCAAATATCTAACTGATACCTGCTCTTCCAAAATGAAGATTGCAGGCCACCAATAGCCTGTTAATGATAAGCTATGTACGTGTCACAGTTTCTATAGCAAATTTATGTTAATTATTTCAGATCAGCCCTCCAAGGTATTATTCCTACTTTATAGACAAGAAAAAATGTGACTTCTGTGGTTAACTACCTTTTGCAAACATTGAGCTCATAAGTGGCAGAGCTGAGGCTCAAACCTAGGTCATCTGAATTCAAGCCTGGGGATACTTCCCTTTATGCCACAGGTGCCTTCCCACTCGATGCTGCACACACAACTCCAGGATTTTCCTTCTTTCTAATGGGTAAGCAGCAGTAAAAGACCAGCATCCCCAGAGCCTCCTCTCAACACTAGTATTATTCCAATCCTCAGTGCTGTCTATTTTTAAGAAGCTAGAGATGATGTTAAATGTAACAGTGTATAAACCTGACCCATTGACAGAAAACCAGCAGGTCTTGTTTTTTTTCCTTAGAAAATTTGCTTTAAGAAAACAAAACAAAATTAAAAGTTAGATCAGAAGACAGGAATAGCTTGGGATTTAATCACCATCTATATATATACTGTTGTCAAAATATATCTTCTACCCAAATCTTTATTTGCCATTGTTTAGATGTGTTGCTTTCTTTGAAAGGGTCAACTTAAGTAGGGACATTATAGAAAGGCCTAAAGAGACCTATAATTCAAGGTGGCTTCAGGAAACCAGCAACTCAAAGATTTACAACCTCTTCAGCTGAAAAAATATAGCTCTAGCC